ACACACGCCTGTATTTGTTTCTGCAAGTTAGGCCCCATTCACACCTGAACGACTTGGAATCTCATGGTTCAGGTGTGAATGGGGCATCTTGTGCTCATTGGAGGGAGGTGGTCAGTTGAGGTACTGTATATGAAGCAGGCAGGAAGACATAGTACTGAGCAAATCATCTTACCCATAGTTACTTACAGCTTTGTGTCTATATATAACAAGACAAGCATTCTGGTACTTGTCTGTTAACTGTGTGGGGTAGGCTGGATTTCCTCCTAAAGTAAACCTTGTAAGACTGTGTAGGTTTGAGTTGCTCCAATTAAAGCTTATGTATGGGGAGGACTCTGTCCCCGCACACACGTGACTTTGCTAGTACTAACATCGGCCACCAGTCAAATGAGAGGAAAGAGTGAGTCACATGCTCCTCGATACCTGGAAGTACCATTTTTTGTTATCCTGGGACCAAAGGAAAGATAATTATGTACTTTTGTGATGGGGGCTTTGACCACATAGGACAAACCAAAAGCTTGTTTTAAAGTGTAGGTTTAATTTAAATAGGTGAAAAGGAAGCACCATTTCCTCGCCTTCGAGATTGTCTGCATAGTAGTCTGTATTGTGATTGTTCTTGTCAATAGCAGGAGACCATTACATGTCAGCATTTGTGATGTGTTCTGCTGTATGAGAAGACCACACAGCTGCTTCTGTGATAAATCACATCTGTTAGCATATGCACTGGTGGTACTTCAGAGAGATCATACAGTTGTCTGTATTTTTATCACACACCAGAGATGGGACATGCTGCTTTTGGCACATCCCTGCACTTAAAAGGCTTTTCAAAAGTTTCAAATTCTGCAGAGTTCAACTTATGACCCCACAGCAGCCGATATCCAATTGCAGTGTTAAAAGTAGATCTCCAGATTTTTTTAAAACTATATGTAAATCCAAAATCAGCAATGCAATTTGTTTCTGCTCACCAGTCCCTAGATGTGGTAGTTGCATTAGTTCTATTTTTTTGGTATAATGCCATTTTTAGAGAGTACAGAACATACTTGTTGATTTTGCCAGAAATGTGGTATCCTTGTCACTTTTATTGATCTGAAAAGACAGAAAAAACTATCTTATCTTTCTTTTGTAAATAACTAATCTCATCAATCCATCATCATCATGTAATGGAGAACAAAAATAAGACATATTTGAAGTCTACCCTGTGTGGCCACTATGGCTGCGTCCACTGATACTGTGGGAGGAGGGATGGTTGGGGTTCTAGGCAGCTCCCTTTAAAAATGAAAAAAATATCCCCCCCAGTAGTGTCCTCTGTACCCCTTTACATCACCCCCCACTGTAGTGTCCTGTTTGCCACAATGCAGTGTCCTCTACCCCCTTACCATCACCTCCCCCCCACAGTAGTGTCCTGTATCCCCAGTGCTGTGTCCTTTGCCCCCTTCCTCCACAGTAGTGCCCTATACGGCCCCAAAACTAGTGTCCTCTGTCCCCCTTCAAATCACCCCCCCCACTGTTTAGTGTCCTCTACCTTGCCCCATAGCAGTGTTCTCTTCCCCCCACAAATTGTCCTCTGCCTTCCCATCCCCCAAAGAAGAGTCCCCTGTCTTATTCTCATCAAAATCCCACCCACTGTAGTTTTCTCTGTGCCCCCCTCCCCCTGGTGTCTCTTAAGCCCCCCCCCCCTCATGGTGTCTCTTAAGCCCCCCCCTCATGGTGTCTCTTAAGCCCCCCCTCATGGTGTCTCTTAAGCCCCCCCCTCATGGTGTCTCTTAAGCCCCCCCCTCATGGTGTCTCTTAAGCCCCCCCCTCATGGTGTCTCTTAAGCCCCCCCCCTCATGGTGTCTCTTAAGCCCCCCCCCCTATGGTGTCTCTTAAGCCCCCCCCCTCATGGTGTCTCTTAAGCCCCCCCCTCATGGTGTATCTTAAGCCCCCCCCTCGTGGTGTCTCTTAAGCCCCCCCCCTCATGGTGTCTCTTAAGCCCCCCCCCTCATGGTGTCTCTTAAGCCCCCCCTCATGGTGTCTCTTAAGCCCCCCCCTCATGGTGTCTCTTAAGCCCCCCCCTCATGGTGTCTCTTAAGCCCCCCCCATGGTGTCTCTTAAGCCCCCCCCCCCTCATGGTGTCTCTTAAGCCCCCCCCCCTCATGGTGTCTCTTAAGCCCCCCCCCTCATGGTGTCTCTTAAGCCCCCCCCCTCATGGTGTCTCTTAAGCCCCCCCCCTCATGGTGTCTCTTAAGCCCCCCCCTCATGGTGTCTCTTAAGCCCCCCCCCTCATGGTGTCTCTTAAGCCCCCCCCCTATGGTGTCTCTTAAGCCCCCCCCCTCATGGTGTCTCTTAAGCCCCCCCCCCTCATGGTGTCTCCTAAGCCCCCCCCCCTCCCCACAGAGTCTCCTGTGTCCCCTCCTCCCCTCGGCGGAGGCTAGGGGGAGGCAGAACCGAGGTCATGGTTGACCTGTTGGCTCCCTGTGGAGACGACCCCTGCAGGGGGAAGTCTTTCAATACCTCCAAATGAATCGCTTCCTCCAATCACAGTTGCCTGAAAAACCTGACATTTCTCCTTTCTCACAGCATTAAAGGGTGTCTTGCTAAATAATCCACGGGGTTGGGACCAATTACAGTAGTCTATTTTATTTTGATGACATTTCTATTTTTCTCTCTGATGCCTTCAAATGGGAGGGAGAACTGGGCGTGCATATGGCAGCTGAAGACTGCAATCCGATTTTGTCCCAATACAGCCAGTAACTCAGCACGTCTTGGTAGACTCCTCCTTTGGTAGTACCTGATCCTTTTTATGTATTTCCCATTATTTTCCAAACTGCTCTCCCTTATGTTTTGCAACTGTCAGGCTGTAGATTCTTCTAAACATATCCTGTGGGTCTGGTTAATGGTGCAGCAATTTTGGATCAGCGTTTATCAAATGACATACATGGGTACCGGTCTAACCTTTTAACAATAATCCTTCTGAGGCCTGAGACCGCCTTTTAAGTATGTACAAAAAAATCCAATTTAAACTTCTTACACATATATTTACTGTGGCCAGATGGAGAATTGCCTGTGCTTGGAAATCCCAGACTTTGCCAATTATGGAAGTCAAGTATGGGTTGCACAAGTCATGTTCTTTGGAAAGCTTAACATTTTCTGTAGGGTATAGGAACGTGGATCCAATTCCATGCCCCCTGCTTTTAATTCAGACTCTCTATAGTTTACCATGCTACCTCTCCCCTGGGTTCCCCCCCCCCCTTTTTTTTTTTTTTCTTTTTTATTATTTTGGTCACATTTAGACAAGCGAGTGTAATACATGTGGGTGCAGCATTTACAGGGTTAAAACAGGCGGTGAGGAGGCTATATAAAGCGAGTGATCTACAGTAGATCGCCTTTCTGAGGAAAATTGATATGCAGCGAGGAAACTATATATATATATATATATATATATATATATATATATATATATATATATATATATATATATATATATATATATATATATATAGCGCCTCCTCACCACCACAGTTGCAGGCAGTTGTGGTGTAGGCCGATTCACTTGATTGGGTTGTTTGGTCGATACTGACCACCAAACAAGACAGATGTTTTGTTTTTTTTTTGCCACAAAGCCTGGTGGCTGTGGCATGTGTACACCCCCAACTGTGCAGTTTAAGAAAGAGACTTGGGGCAGTAAAATCGTGGCTCAGCCATCTCTTTATACTGTCCTGTCAACCACAAATGTAAAGGAGCTCTTACTCCTTCTTATTGAATAAAAAAATTACTAATAATCAACAATACATGAAAGCCTAAAACTCCTGCAGCCACCACATCTAAGGACAGGTAAGCTGCAATATGTTCAATTTTTATTTTGTGTCACTATAGTAAAGCAAAAGGAAGCAAAGATATATTGCCAATTGAGACCGAGCAGTTTAAAAATGACAGACGTTCTAACCTTTCTTTTTACTTTGTCATGAAAGTTCAGCATAAACTGTGAGAAAATATTCTCATGGGACAACAGATAGTAGTAGTAAAAATTGCTGTCCGATGTTCCTAAATGTGGGCATGATGATGTCATGGAGCTGAGACTGGCTGGCAGCCAGGAGGCCTGCAGGAGTGAGGAATAAGAGAAGTATGTGTACTCTCCTATCTAGCCATATGAACGTTTAACCTATTTCCAGTGCAGAGGAGGACCCCACTACATGGGTACATTTCAAAGCAGCCCAGAGTTCAAGAATTATTAAACCCAAATCCAAAAATCTAATATATTGCAGCTTACCAATCATTAGATGTGGTGGCTTCATTAGTTTTCTTTTTTAGACTTTTTTTCTCTTTTTTTCACCTAGTGACCTGGCCAGTAACGCTCCTCCTGTTTTAGAGCACCCCCATTCTGGATGAAGGAGCATATGGGCACATTTGGACCGCAGCATTGTCAATCTGGGGGGAGAGGAGTGTTAGATGGAATAGCATATTTAAATACAATAACAAATTACAGCTGAACTCCAGCTAATACTGTTACTTCAAACTGCTTTTTTTCCTTTTGGGATAAATGTTTTACATAAATAAGTAAAAGCTAATCATTGTAAGCAGCCCTGCCAGTGATAAATGGTTTGTCTCATTCCTGTAACTGCAAGTGAGCTTGTTCTGTTGAAAAACAACAGACTTACTGGCCAGATCACCTGATGAAAATGGCAAAAAGCCTAAAAAAGAAATTGAATGCAGCCATCACCTCTAAGAATTGGTAAGTTGTAATACTAAATGTTTGTTTTTGGGTTTAATACTGCTTTAAGCTGACCTGGTGACCAGTTTTAACAGATAAAAGTAGAATACAGCAAATATCTGCCGATCTGAGACTGCTGTGGACTACATTACAGAAAGTGTATGCCGAGAATGTTAAAAGTCCCTGAATTTTTCTGCCATTGTTCAGTGACCCTAAAATAAACAGTGCCTATTGAGAATGTTTCCTACATAGGGAAGTCTTGGTGCCCCAGAGACAATGTATAGTCATGTTTTTCTTTGCTTACATTTTACAGGGTGACAGCGTTCACAAATCTGTTTTCATCATATTCTTCCAAGGAGATCAGCTGAAGAACAGAGTGAAGAAGATCTGTGAGGGGTAAGCCTTAATGTGTAACCTTTCTAGTTTTACAATCTACATGATCCAATATATCACAAATTGGAAGCGTATTGTTATTGTGCTGCAGCTTTCTGTGTTTAACGCAGAAACACCTTTTTAGCTCACTCAGTCAACATATTTATTTCAAATGTGTATAGAGAACCCTCAGCACAATAGAACTACAAAAACAAATAGTGCGGCTAGCATATAATGCGTTCCCACATGTAAACCATAAATCCAATAACAAATGCACGCAGCAATATGAACACAAATATAGTGCTAATAATATAAAACGTGCATATATGAATAGTGAAAACAAAAATTGTGTTTGTGACAAAAAATATGTGCTACACCAAATTTCTTCCCAACGCATACACATAGATACCCATAGAACTGCACATACCAGTGCTGAAATGAATGGTGCATACAAATACCCAACAAAATGTTCTTAATAGTGGACTATCCCTTTAAATCTCAGATATTCGATCACGATAGGAGATATACCACACAAGCACACGTGAAGACATTTGAGTTCTAAAGGGACAGTCCACTATTAAGAACATTTTGTTGGGTATTTGTGTGCACCATTCATTTCAGCACTGGTATGTGCAGTTCTATGGGTAACTATGTGTATGCGTTGGTAAGACATTTGGTGTAGCACATATTTGTCACAAACACAATTTTTGTTTTCACTATTCATATATGCACATTTTATATTATTAGCACTATATTTGTGTTCATATTGCTGCGCTGCATTTTTTTATTCATTTATATTTATTTTAAACCAAATACCAGCTGTTCATTTGACTATACACAGTATGATTTTAATAATGAGCAAAAAGCAGTGCACTTCTCACACAGACCTACACGCTAGTTAGTCCCACCTCCTGGACCATCGTGACCATTTAATTCATCCCAGTGATCTCAGGGTTTTGGCAGGTTTCTTGCCTTCTGCATATCAACAGTCAGGCTACATTCACACCTGTGCAGAACAATTTTCAGGAGTTTTTATATGTGCTTTTTTGAGCGTTTTTGCAAGTGTTATACAGCCATTTTACATGTGTATTCACATTTAGGCTTTTTGTTTTAGCCAATGGAAATCACTAGGGGAAGGAGATCAGTTAACATAGGATAAAAAACGCTCAAAGCTTTTTTTTCAGGCATTCCTGTTTAAGTCTATGACGGCAAAAATGACCAATTCTGCCTCAAAAGTAGCTCATGTACTTTTTGGAATGACAGGCATTTTTCTGCAAGCGACAGAATGCTCAGATGTGAACAGGGGCCATTGAAATGAATAGGATTTTGCTTACTGAGTATTTTTGAGCATTGAGCTACAAGCTACAAAATGTGTGAATGGGGCCTCAACCTGACACATTGGAAAAGAGAGAGCTGAAAAGTTTGAAAGTGTTGAGAATGTTTCGAAAGACCGCTACCACCAGGCATTGGTAAAAGGAAAAGATAGTTACAATTTATGTGCTCGTAGATTATCTTGCTGATGTTGTTATCAATACTAAACATTCACAAAGATACAGAACTATGTCACATGAACAATATTGTAACAGCTACAGTAAATTTGTATCTAAACACAAGGACAAAAAATTTTATATATTGCAGTTTACTAGTCTTTAGATGTGGTGACTATATTCGTTTTTTCAGGCTTTTTTTACTTCATTTATTTATACCTTTTGATAATGAAAGTCAAACTTCCTTTACTAGGGTGACAATGCTGACTTTCTGTACTGTATCTGTGGAGGAGCAGCATTGTCACTCTGGGACAGGGCAACTGAAAACCTCCCCTCTCCTCAATAACCTATGGGTGAGGTGTTTTGTTGTTCTTCAACATAGTTGGGAACAATGCTAAAGCTGGCCATAGTCTGTTCAAATCTCGGCTGGTTCAGTAGGGACTGGCCGAGATTCACACCATGTGTGGGCAGTTGGGCATGTTGATCGATCAGCTTAGTTACAACCAGCCTGCCGAACTTCACATGTGATCGTTGCTATTATAGCTGCTAGCATTAATGACTGTTTCCCTGGTGGGATGGCTCCCTTGTCTGTTCGCCCCCCCCCCCCCCAAGAGTACACAATGGCTCTGTGGGAGGGTTTCCCCCATCAATACTGTGTTCAAGGGGAATTGAATTATTTTATTTCCTTCCATCCATGGTTGCAGTAAAGAAAATCGCTCCATCTCATCTATGGCCGGCTTTACTGTATAGCTAAGGCAAGAGAGCACAGGACGTTAGCTCACAGGATTTCTGGCAGGAACAACTGGCATTTTTGCTCTTGCGAAAAAAAATATGTAAAAACCATTTAAGCTGATTTATTTAACAGACCAAAAGGTGACAAACGAAAAAGGTTATTTTTAGGATTGAGTCATAGTGATTTCAGCAATATGTAACCCAGTAGCTGGGTGAGTGACTTTTTGAGAAGTTTGAAACTAGCCTAAATATTGCCAGCTTTAACAGTTATACATATATAGTTGTAAACAATTACACAACAACTCTAGAGCTAGATACAATTTAGAAAAAAAAATAATCATGAAGATTTGTAGCTACTGTAGATCTACTGAAATATTGCGTTGCCTACACGCAAACAATTGGCAATCCTAATTCTGTCAGTAAGAGTGTGTGGATTATGCTAGATTTAATCCTTTTTATTCTTGTTTTATTAAGCTAATAATTGAAAAAAATCTTGATCTACATGTCACACAATATTATAGGAAAACAAATTTTTATAGAGAAACTCGAGAGAAAAAAAAAGCTACATCAGATGAAGCATCGATCTGAGCCAGCTAGCTGCCGGTCAGGAATCTGGGTGGATCCCGACTTTAAAGCCGGCATCTCTTCAGAGCCTGGACCGGCTCAGTGATGTCTGTCAACAGCAGGCTTTAGCCCGCTGTCAACTGAATACAGTTTATAGGAGTGCAGAACTAAATGCATTCCTGTGACCTAATGGAGAAGTGTGGCCAAAAGAGCTTTGGACCCACTTCTCCTTTAGCACCTAGCTTACTTTACTTTGATTTATTTTCTAAATATGTCCCTGATATATCAATATCTTTTCTAATGTTTTGTGGTATTTGCTTTGCACCTTTTGTAAATGAATACATCCCTTTTGATTTTCACAGGTTCCGTGCTTCTCTCTATCCTTGTCCAGAGACCCCTCAGGAGCGCAAAGAAATGGCTGCTGGAGTAAACACAAGAATTGATGATCTGCAAATGGTAAGGCTTTAGAGGGTGTTTTCCTACTAAAGTATTTTGCCTTTCCTAGCCTAATTTTGTAAAACTGTAAGTCACCTCACTATGTGCGGTTAATTTTTCTTTTGAGGTTACAAGTGGAATAAGAAAGTTGTATCACAGGTGAAGGAAGAACACTGAATAAGAAGACTAAATGTCATGTTTGGTTTTACTATAAGGATTATATAGGACATTGAGACGCTGAGAAGGACTTGGACTGTATATACAACACCTTTTACAAATGGCAAGCATATCCAGCGCTCACAAGATGATGGAATATGGTGTAGATAATATGCTTATGAAAATGTTCACAGGGATTGGTGAAATGGTGAGAATAGTCACTGAATACAATATGACCAAACTAACAGTTTATCAGGAAATGGCATATGTCAAATGATCAGTTCCTCCAAGTGGTTTGTGGAGTGGGGAAGGAGTGGACGATGGGACTGAAGCACACACAATCACCGGCAGCTCCTCGCTAAGGATGTGGGGAATCTCTCAGAAGCATGCAAAAAGAACACAGCAGGGCACCAGATTAGCGTGGATTAAAATAGGAGAACTTTAATGCAAGAGTCCTGGATAAGTGCAGTGTACAGAAACAACGCTCTCCAGGATAGTGGAGCGGATGATTGCTGCAAGGCCTGGGGAGAGCTGCTTGATAAAGGAGGCAGAACCTTGGAAACACGTTGCGGCCCGCCCACTTGCAATCTACGGCGCCTGTCAGATTTCCCTACCATCCTGCCTGCACGGAGCATTGCCGTGGACTCCATCTCCAGTGGGTCTCTCTCCATGCTTTGCAGCGATCGTCGGCTCCACTATCCTGGAGAGAGCTGTTTCTGTACACTGCACTTATCCAGGACGCTAACTGTGGAGAATTTTAAGTGCTCTTGTGTTAAAGTTCTACTGTTTTAATCCACGCTGATCTGGCGCCCTGCTGTGTTCTTTCACTCTTTTCGTTCTTTCATTCAAGTGATCCTTCACCTCCAAGATGTAGCAGTTGTAAGAATGAGTGGCAAGACTTTTGTCAGTGTGGAGGTTAGTGCTTCTGATCTCAGGAAATTTGGAGTGCCACTGGAAATGCAAAGCAGATCTAGTCTGTAAATATAATATGCAGTTTACATGGCTCCTAAGGTTGTTCTTCAGACTTACAAAAAAAAAAACATATATGAAAAGTTAACAGCTACAAATGCTGTACCTGCTGACTTAAAAAAAAAAAAGAAAAAGGGTACTTACCTGTTCAAGGATTCAACGCTGTGCTCACCCAGGCCCGTACTTTTGCCGGTATTTGGGTCTCCAGCCGGCATGTTTACTAAGGGAAGCTGCTTGTGACTCCTTGCGGCTTCACAGCCTGTTTCCCAATTTGCATGCGTGAGTCATGCTGCGCTTTGTGAATGAACTTGCGTCCTTTTTGACCTGTGACGTGTCCCAGAAGGTGGGGGGGGGGGGAGCTGAACTTCAGCTCTGATTGCCTATGTGGTCAGAGAAGAAGTGGGTGTCAGTACCAGCTCCCCAAAGAAAAGCAGAACTTCATAGTGGGAGAGGAGGGGGGAAAAAGGTGTTAAAGTAGCACTTCCCTTTTAGGGTGAAGTTACACTAAAGGCTGAATAACAGTAAATTATTAACCAAAATTATTAACCTCTTGAATTTAAATAGTGGCGATAATGCCCTAAAAAAAACTTCAGCAAAGTTTCTAGAATATATCTTTAGGTTCAGCTCTTCTCTCCTCACCTCCTCTCTCCCTGCTGCCATTCCTAGCCTATAATTACTGTCAAAATGCAGCCACTCACCCTTTTATGTCCTCTTCCTCCTTCACTTCCTGAGTCCCCTTTGCAGGTTCACTCCAGCTGTCCTTCTGAATTTGGGAATCATCCCCCTTTTGTACCTAGTGGTTGTTAGGGGATATATTAGGCCATTATCATTTAATGAGCCTCCTCATCACTTTTTAACACATAAGAATACTATGGCTTGTACCAAGTTGAAGTATGTTGGTTTGGTATATCTTGCCAATGAACGTTAATAGAAAAATGTCACTGAAAATGTGTACTAATACTTACAGTAAGGCTACTGTTTTAAAACTAACACTAATAAAACTTGAAAAAAGTTTATTTTTTCTTTTTGCCTGAAAATTACATAGAAAATGAAACTGTTTTTGCAAGACAAAATTGCTAAACCAAAGCCTAGTTTGTCCCCAAAATACAATCTATGTATGACTTTGCTATCTTAAGTAATGACAAAAATATTGCAAAATAAACAGTTCATGAAATGTAAAATTGCTCTGGTCCATAAGTGGTATAAAGGTACAAGATCTGCAGTGGTTAAATAAGACTGCATTTAAAGAAGTGGTTAAATAAGACTGCATTTAACGTTTAGGCTTAAGTATTCTACAGCAAAGTTCATCTTACTTCTTTTGCAATGCCAAGGTTCTCAATCAAACAGAAGACCATCGCCAGCGTGTCCTCCAGGCTGCAGCAAAAACAATTCGAGTATGGTTCATCAAAGTACGGAAAATGAAAGCTATTTACCATACTTTGAATCTCTGTAATATTGATGTCACACAGAAGTGTCTGATCGCAGAAGTATGGTGCCCAGTGGCCGATTTTGGATTCCATTCAGTTCGCTCTTCGGAGAGGGACCGTAAGTACACATTTATTTTACCCATTCGCCTAACTATATGTGCATGTGCCTATATCTTACATAGATGGGCATTGTGCTTGGATGATTTATTTGGCAAGAGTTAATTTAATGTGATTAACAGATTAAAAGAAATCCATCCTTCTTTTAGGAACACAGTGGATCAACTGTCCCTTCCATCCTCAATAGGATGCAAACAAATCAGACCCCACCAACCTACAATAAGACAAACAAGTTCACATATGGCTTCCAAATCTGGTAGATGCCTATGGTATTAGCAGTTACCGTGAAATAAACCCAGGTAATCCCATTCTTATCTAAAAGAACAATAAGACTAGAAATGCTTGTAGTATTCTGTGTGTAGGGTAAGTTGATGGAGTATATTTACTTGAATTATTTTCTTTTCAGCTCCATATACAATTATTACTTTCCCATTCTTGTTCGCTGTAATGTTTGGTGACTTTGGCCATGGCACATTGATGACACTGTTTGCAGTATGGATGGTCGTGAGGGAAAGTCGAATTCTGTCCCAAAAATCTGACAATGAAGTAAGATGCTCTTAGCTACACTTCACTGTTTTTATTTTGTACGGAGAGAGTACCAAGACCTATATTTTCAGTCAAGAACTTCAGGCCCATTTTGAAGGGAATTTGTCATCACGAGAGAAACATGCTGTCTATCCTTGCTGACCTTTCCTATTGAGAATGCAAATTGTCTGGCTGTGACAGCTTATTTGGTATTCACACAGCCAGGCAACCAGCATTTACTAGGAGAAAAGCAATAGTAGTATGTTAGCATGTTATTGTAGCATTTGTACTTGTATAAAGCAAAGAGCAACATGCGTAACGTAGTAACTCCTAAATCAGTCATCTTCCTTTTAATGTTTATGGTTGCGGTGGCAGACCACTTGATCAACAATGTGTAGGAACATTGCTGGACTTCAAGAGGTTATACTGTGATTATGCCTGCAGCTGCAGGCATCATCCCTGTATTGCTTTTTTCAGCCAGTGGTCAGCTTTCTTGTAAAAGCAATCGTAGCGGCTAATACAAAATACAGTGGTTTGCAGCGCTTATAAAATATAAATGAAAGTAAAATAAAAACAACACCCGTGACAAGTGTATAACACAAAAGGAATGAACAGTCCAAATAATAACACAATATTCAAGGACAGTCTTTTTCTTTGTGACTTTTTTTCAATAACTTAAATAGTGTTTGATCTCCACCTTGAGTTAAATGCACACTCACCAGATCCAATTGCTGTCTAAATGAATAGAACAGCAAATAACGTTTTGTTAGACAATGAAGCTCTTCTCCAAGAAATGATGCTCCAGGCGAACCAATATTTCTTCACCACTCTCTTAGCCCATTGAAACCACAGAAGACCCATCTTTTTTCACACCGCTCCAAAGTAGAACAAAAAGGGTGCTGCTGATCAGACCTACACAATCTGCTTCTGTAACCAAGTAACACACAGTTCCCCGCCTTCACTCACTTGCTTTTTTCAGCCAGTGGTCAGCTTTCTTATAAAAGCAATTGTAGTGGCTATTAAGCCGCTGGTCTGCTTTTACAAGCAATGGTAGGGGACGTTCCCTTTCCCCTCCAGCTTCCATGGCTCCCATCCCACCTGGAGAGCCGAACGTCCAGCTGGCGGTCCAGACTGGAATGGCTTTGATCATCTCTGTGGTCTCAGAAACCAGAAGCAATGAGCATTCATCACTTCCTGTTTTGCAGGATGTAAACAACAACATTTTTAAATTGGGAAAGCATCTGATCACAACAGTCTTGTTGTGATAAGATGCTATGAAGGGCAGAGGAGACATATGGGGTCTAATAGAAGCCAGATCTCTCAGTAAATAGTACCTGATGCTGGGGATCTGCAACTGGGGATAGCAATAAAGTAATCATTTTAAAGCACCCGTCCCCCTGTGTTCGCAAGCAAAGGTGTGCTCATAAACCGCGATCTTCCAGCTCGTGAAGTATCACAGTGAATTCAGATAGAGGGCAGTAATTCTAGCACCAGACCTCCTGTATAAATCTAAAGTGGTAACCTGTAAAGACTTTTAAACCATTGCCTATGGGTAATAAAATTTACATAATTTGTCACCGTTGCACAGGCATGTGCAGCTTTAAAAGCGGGACATGTTTGGTATCTATTTACTTAGAGTAACAACGTCTTTAATATTTTACTAAACAATTGGGTATTATATTGTGTTTTTGTGCATTAAATTTAAAAAAAAATGTGTTTTTTCTATAAAAATTGTATTTTAATAACTGCTGCGCAAATACCATGTGAGATAAAATTTTGCAACACATTTTATTCTCTAGGGTCTCTACTTTAAATGTAAAAATCTGTATTTTTTTGCAAGAAAATTACTTAGAATCCCTAAACATTCTATATTTTTTTTTTAAACAAAAAGTGTCGGAGAAGGTGTGGTCTTCAAGTGTTTAAGAAATTCTGCATTATTATATATGAAAAAGCTATATGGCCCATTCATCTCACTACATTACTGTAACATGTGTTGATATGCTTAGGTGCCATGCATTCTGAATGGCACATCAGCACACCTTCACAATGCACCTGTAATGCAACATTGTGGTGCGTTAGGCAGTCCCTTCATGTTAATGACTGCCTTAAAACAATGCTTGATAACACGCTTGTGTTAAACAAACTGCACTAGTGTGAAGGGACCTTTAGTGTCCTGAAAAATGTTCCATTAGCTCAGAAAGCCTATTGAGCTCATTCTTGGGGGGTCCAATTATCACAAAAGTAAAAAAAAAAAAAAAAAAAAAAAAAAAATATATATATAAAATAAAATATGCCCTACCCAAGCTGTCATTTGCGGATGGGGCTGTCAATCACTGGGTCCCGGCCCGTGATTACCAAGGATCTCCTCCCTGTCAGCTCGAGCACACTGCTTTCGATGGCTATGTGCAGCAATCCAAAGCAGTGTGCTTACAGTGAACCCTTTGATCGCCCCACATGTTAACCCCTTCCTGCCCAGTGCCATTAGTACAGTGTCAGTTATTTCTTTTAGCACTGATCACTGTATTGGTGTCACTAGGGATACCAGTGACACCAAGTCAGTTCCCCCCCCCCCCAGTGTCGAATATCTGCCGCAGTCCTGCTATAAGTCGCTGATCGCCGCCATTCTTAGTAAAAATAATAATAAAAAATCCCGGTGTATATATATCACCTTTTGTAAACGCTATAACTTTCACATAGACCAGTTTACATGTATTAGGATTTTTTTTTTTTTTGAAAAGACATTATAGCAGAATACATTTTGGCCTAAATTTATGATGAAATTTGATTTGTTGTTTAAATTTTTTTACTGGACATGTTTGATAGCAAAAAGTAAAAATTTGTTTTTTTTTTTCAAAATTGTCGGTCTTTTTTTTATAGCGCAAAAAATAAAAACCGCACAGGCGATCAAATACCACCGAAAGAAAGCTCAACTTGTGGGGAAAAAAAGAACGTAAATTTCATTTGGGTGCAGCATTGCATAACCACGCAATTGTCAGTTAAAGTAATACAGCGCATAACACAAAAAATGGCCTGGTCAGGAAGGGGGGTAAATCCTCTGGAGGGCAAGTGGTTAAAATAAATGGAAAAATCAACATATAAATAGAGGCCCAAATTATTGCTCTAACATTTTTGCTTTTTAACCCTGTGATGTTTATAAGCAATTGCAATTAAAATAACTAATGCACACCTTCAAATATACAATTAACTTAAATTAAGATCAGTTAAATTCTCGTAGAGTTCTACTACCCCATAGCCCATCTTGTCTATCCTACTCTTGTAAAACAATATGTATTGTATTTATCTCACTGCTTTGCATCTCTAACTGAAGCTTACCTGTGTGTGGGAAACAGAGGTAAAGTCTTCCTAACGCTGTTGATTTTTGTGAGTGCTGTTGGCTCAGTTGCTGTTACAGTACCATAAACAAAACGATCAACCTCCATGACAATTCATGTTGTATGTGAAAAAGTAGTTTGTCTGTGTCATTCCTATAATCTAACTGGTCTTATTCTCTGATTACAGCTCTTTAACATGGTGTTCAGTGGTAGATATATCATTCTGCTGATGGGCCTGTTCTCTGTCTACACCGGCCTGATTTACAATGACTGCTTCTCCAAGGCTCTGAATATGTTTGGTTCTTCCTGGAGTGTTAGACCAATGTTCACCAGCCCAAAGGCAAACTGGACGTATGTGTCAGGAAGTAATTGATAAGTATGGTTTTCTTTATACTACAAGGGGCGTTCAAGTCAAACTGGGACTTTAATTTTATAGGTATAAAAAGGTATGCTAGCATGGCGGTACTACATGCAGTAGTAAGTGGCAAGTATGTTCTATTACTGATAGGCTGTGCACATGTTGCAGCCAATCCAGAGACCGTTAATCAAGATATCAGACAACAGTGTTTGTGTGCTCATGGTACAGTAAGGAACACGAGACTAATCTTTCCATGGGAACGGTGAACACAATCATTCATGAACATTTTGCATTTTTTAAAAGATAGCTCACGCTGGGTACCATGACAATTTTCCACTTTTGACCAGCACAGAAGAGTTGAAGCCTGCAGTGCGTTGAAGGAGTGTTTTGACTGGGAAGGTCAGGATTTTCTGGATCACATCACTGCATGTGACAAATCCTGGGCACATCCCTTCACTCCAGAATCAAAAAGAGCATCAAAGCAGTGGAAGCATGCGGACTCAACACGATCAAAGACATTTTGAACAGTTGCGTCTGCAGTTAAAGTGATGGCATGTGTTTGTTGGGACAAACGTGGCGTTATTCATGTGGATTTTTACCTGTGGTTCTACTATGAACAGTGAATATTACTGTCGTGTTCTGGGAGATGTGCATACGCGTCTGCGGAAAAAACTCCTGGTTTGATCACTAAGGGCATCCTGTTTCTCCAGGGCAATGCACAAGCGCATACTGCTCAACGCACTATGTGCACGTTTCAGCAACTCGGCTGGGAGGTCTTGCCACATCCCCCTTACAGCCCAGACCTTTCTCTCGAGTGATTTCCACCTGTTTGGACCCCTAAAAAGAGTTCCTTGGAGGTCAGCATTTCAGCACTGATGATAAATTGAAGGAGGTTGTCCTTGGATGGTTCAGGTATACTGACAAATCTTTCTATGCTGAAGCTTTCCAGGCATTCGCTAAACTCTGGGTATGTTGAAAAATAGATGCAGTTTCCACTCCTTGAAATTTGTTTTTATATAAACTAAAAAGTCCCGGTTTGACTTTAACACTCCTCGTAGTTGCAAACTTTGGGTGTGCTAAACACGCCCTAAAAAAGGTTATCATTGTACACAGGATGAGCTTAGCAGGCTTAGTCAATCTGCCTGTTTGCCAGGACCCCATCCCAGTAAACAACAATTGTCAGCCAGCATTGTTGTGTACACAGAAAAGGTCAGCAGCTTCAGCTGTCAAAAAAACCCCCAAAAAACAGTCTGACGGTGTTTATAAATCATGTTTGTGTTGAAGATTGCACTGGACTGACGGATCAGTCAGTGGTTGTAGGTGGGTGGTTGTGTGGGTGGGTATGGAGATGTCTCTTTTCAGTTGGTTGTGCCCAATGTTGGATACTGGCTGTAAACCCTCTTAAGGTTTGGGCTACTGCCTTTCTGGTACAGCCTTAAAGCCGTTTCCACACGTAGATTTGGAATAATAGGAAAGAAGGAGCACCCCGATATGCAAAAGAATTCACGTTTGATAGTAGATTAAGAGGCATTTATTGAGAATACCGACAAGTACATCAAACTAACGTGTTTCAGGAGAAAAGACTCCCTTCTTTAGGGTTGTTGCTGCACGCTATTAAATGGGAAAGATTCCCATGCCAGTTATATATTTTCCAGGTTTCGGAGGAAATCTGACAGAGTGATGGCTGTTATTCCAGGGGCAGCAAACGACAGCTGTCACTGTCAGTTTTTCCTCTGAAACCTGTAAAATAAAGAACCAGCATTAGAATATTTCCCACTTAATAGAGTGCAAAAACCAGCCCGGAAGAATGGAGTCTTTTCTCCAGAAATGCTTTGGTTTGATGTATTTGTCATTATTCTCAATAAATGCCTCTTAATCTACCATCAAAAGTGCATTCTTTTGGACATCAGGGGGAGCTTCTTCTTTTCTATTATTCCAAGTGTTTCTAAATAACACTTGTTCAGACTATAGAATGGTGCACTGTAACATATTGTCACATTTCTATCTTTCTGTTCATCTGCAGACCAGAGGGATGAACATTGATCTGCAGATGTGTTTTTTTTGTTTGATAAAATGTTCCTCTGTTTAACCCTTTATTAACCAGTAGTTTACTATAATCATCCCTAATAACTCACTATTCTCCTTTTTTTTTTTTTTTTTTTTTTTGTTCTTTCCTATTTTTATATTCAACTATGGATATAGCATAGTGTATATGGAGGTTTTCTATTTGTGTTTAACCTAATTTTTTTGGTTTATTATTTGTTTTTGTCTTTATTATTTTTACACATTTAACATACAGCGGGCAAATAGAGTATTGAACACGTCACCATTTTCCTCAGTGAATATATTGACACAAACTTTTCACCACATGTCAGTAACAAGCCTTGCAATCTATACATACAAAGAAATCAAAACAAATAAGTTCATAATTTACGTTATGTGTAATAAAATGGAATGACACAGGGAAAAAGTGTTGAACGCAAGAAAAAAGGGAGATGCAACAAAGCATGGAAAGCCAATGCATCAGCTGAAATCTATGATAAATAGAAAGCAATCCTGCCTCTTGTCGGTGCTAATTATTATTCGCTGGTTCAGTCTCCACTGATGGTCTATAAAAAGGTGTCTCATTACCAAGGCATCACACAAGAAACATCTCATGGTGGGTAAAAGCAAAGAGCTCTCTCAAGACCTTCACAATCTTATTGTTTCAAAACATACTTAAGGCATTGGTTACAGAGGGATTTCTAAACTTTTGAAAGTTTCGATGAGCACTGTTGGACCATAATTTGGAAGTGGAAAGAAATTGAACTGTATGGATGCCATAATACACACCATGTTTGGAGGTTAAATGGCACCCCAAAAAACACCATACCAACAGTGAAGTTTGGAGATGGAAACATGGCGTGGAGCTGTTTTTCCGCATACGGTAACGGCAAACTTCATATTGTTGAAGAAGGATGAATGGGAAAATGTACCAAGACATTCTTGATAAAAATCTGCTGCCTCTGCCAGTATGATGAAGATGAAACAAGGGTGGAAAATTTCAGTAAGACAATGATCCCAAACCCAAAGCCAAGGAAACTCTTAATTGGTTTCAAAGAAAATAAAGCTGCTAGAATGGCCCAGCCAATCATCTGACTTGAATCCAATAGAAAATCAATGGAAAGAACTAAAGATAAGAGTGTCGCAAACGTGCGCAGCACACAATGAAGAACGCAGACTCCATTTTGTTAAGAGTATCCATTTTCTCCCCTCACTCCCTCCCTCTCTGAGAGGAGACATTTGGCCAGCGTGTGTGTGCTGGTTGTAGGTCACTGGCAGGCCAAGGCATCTCTGAGCTAGGTGCCTAGCTGTCTCAGAAAGCTGTACCATTTCATACCTCGGAAGAGATAAGACAAGCTTTCTCAGGAATTGAAAGAGATTCCAACCTCATAAAACCTAACTCCGTGTAGGTGACAGAATCAGATAACCTCTGTTAAATCCATTTTTCCCCTATGTCTCATATCTTGGAATATGAGAGACTTACATAAAAACCGAACATATCGTCAATGGACGATGAGCAGGCGAACAATTTGATGGGTCACTCGCCTTGTCTCGGACACACAGGAAAGCAGAAAAATAGATCTCGTGAACCGTTTAGTATACACTTTCATAATTCATATCTAATCAGTCCTCAGACTTGTCTGCATAATAATCTACCCGCGGGCCGAATGTCACTTGTGCAGATGAAAAGTTATGGGCCAAATATGAGTTATGGGAGATTTTTGCTCTAGTTGAGGCATCCGTCCATAACTACACGCCCTAAACGTGTTATTGGGCCTTGACTTAAGAGACACCCCCTGCTGGGGACTACAAAATAGGCTGTCAGACCTAAGAGTGAAAGAAGTTGAAACCGTCTCCCATTTTTAACATCAATACCACCTGGGGAGATACGTGCCCTCTTGCTCTAAATTCTTTGTATATTTATGATTCTTTGTATATTTATATATATCTTAGTTACATCTTTTTTTCTGTAAATATTTTTATTGCACCCGTTTGACCTTTTAGTAATAAATCTTTCTTTCTGAAAGTGTTGAACTGTTTCTATAGCTCTGTATTTCAATTTACGAATCCCTGCCTCTAAAGAGAACACTGTTTGTTTAACCCTTTGTATAACAGGCCTGTGTTATGACCATTTTATACAGACGATTATCTCAATCATTAGAGTGTTGTAGCTGATATTGCCGAGTTTCCTCTTTCTCTGCACAAAAAGGAGGTGGGGGCAGTGTGAAGGGTCAATTGCGTAATTAACCTGACCCAGTAACCATCGCCCAGGCTGCAGGTGCTTCGATTGTGCTCCGTTAGCTGGAAAATCGTTGTGCAGGGTGCAGCTGGGTGTGGCATTGTTACGCCCGTCACATCTCGGTTTTAGATTGGTTAGTCCTTCGGTCACAAGTTTGGTGAGAAGGTCTGGGGTCTGACGCCACGATCGTGACATATTGGTGGCAGGGATCGTGACAAAGAGTTCATAGAAGAGGCTCACGGAACCTTCAAGATTTAAAGACTTTGTGTGGAAGAATGGATCAAAATCACACCTGAGCAATGCATGCGACTAGTTTCCCCATACAGGAGGCATCTTAAAGCTGTCATTACCAACAAAGGATTTTATTCAAAGCATTAAATTTCAGCTGGCGTGTTCAATACCTTTTCTCTTTTTCATTCCATTTTATCACATATAACTTAGTGATTCTAAAAGCTTTTTTTTTTTTTTTAAAGAAAAAATAACAAACAAGTCCTATACTTACCTGTTGTGTGCTGTGTTTTGCACAGAACAGCCTGGATCCTCCTCTTCTCGGGTCCCCTGCCAGTGCTCCTGGGCCCTCCCTCCTGTCGGGTGCCCCCACAGCAAGCAGCTTGCTATGTGGGCAAGTGCTGCTTTATGTATCCATTCACACATGGAGCCGTGGCTCGACCCTGCCCTCCTGTCTCTTATTAATTGTGATTGACAGCAGCT